TTTAAATATCATTTTGTTTATTATAGTGTTGCTATTGGTTTTACAATTCAGTATGGATGAATTAATTAAAAATTATCAATTCGTTATTAGATACCAATTTTATATATTGTTTCATCTTTACAAATTAATAAATGCGATAAAATATTATGATCACTATAGCTATGTCGGGTATCAAACGACGATTTAAACACAAATTTTGAATCATATTATATACATATTATCATATCGTATTTTTGACGTACAACGAAATGCAAAAGGATTAGCTAGTATAAAATATTAGTCTAAATCACAARATGTATTAAATTACATACCTACAATTATATCTATTATATTTTCATAACATWTAACTATTTKGTCTGTAACCAATGGCAACCCTGTACATAAACAAAACAAAAAAAATAATCGATTTGTGAGAGTTATAATTAAATACATAGGTGAAGCGCGATTTACTCCAACTTAACCTAACCTATATGGGTAGAAAAACTTAACTAAAAACCCTCCCCTCCCCTATCAAGGAATCGATCGATAAACACTTTTTTGAAAACTATTCAATAGTTATTGAGTCCAAGAGAACAATGAAATAAAGAGTAATTTATTAATCAGTATAGATTTATTAATTTATTAATCATTATAGATATATAGAAGTTTGAATTTTGACAAAAATGTATATTCATCGATAATAACGATTTTAGTTTTTATGTTCTATTTCAAAACGTAATATTCGTAGAAACTAGAAATATTTCACGGTCACTAGATTATAATTTTCTTAACTCAATGAACTTTTTCCAAAATATTTAGATACATTTTAAGTTAAACCCAATTTATACTAGGTGTGAATTTCTAATAGGTAAKTCAGTATTGACTAAAAAGTTAATAGTATAATAAACGCAATGTTTTCTTGCGAAAAGTAATTCAATCTACAGTACTAATAATTGCAGTAAAATAGTAATACAAATATAAGATAAAATCTACTTAATAATAACTAATAATGGCTGAGAGACAGTATTTGGTCAGAATCTTTTTTCATATGCGATAAATTCAAATTTACTACTTCATAACTGCGCAGAGGTATATTCGACATTACTGTACAGCTGAGTGGAACCTAACTTAACCTAACAAGGCCGTCCTAAGGATTTTCGAGGATCAGTCGCCGCCCAGGAAACAAATACAAGTAGGTAAGATGTAACACCTTCTAGATTTTATATTTACCTATAATYAGTGGCGAAACGAACCTAAAATAATCCATAAGCAATTTAAAATTGACCCGCAACCGTACTATACCATCCTATAACAACAATTTATAATAAACACAAGTACTATAATTATTAGCATTAATATTACTATTTGCCTACTACATAATATTATTTAGTAGT